CTTCTTAATTACATTACCTGTAATAGAGACTTTTCACGTTCTTCTTAATAACATCATTAATAAAATCATTTTTGATGGAGACTTTTCACGTTCTTCTTAATTACATTACTTGTAATGGAGACTTTTCAAGTTCTTCTTAATAACATCATTAATAAAATCATTTTTGATGGAGACTTTTCACGTTCTTCTTAATTACATTACCTGTAATAGAGACTTTTCACGTTCTTCTTAATAATATCAACTTTGATGGACACGTTTCTTATTCTACTTAATAATATCAACTCTGATGGACACGTTTCTTATTTTACTTAATAATACCAACTTTATTCAATATTTTTTCTGGTTCTGTCTACCAATACAAACTTCACTTGGGACTTTTCTAGGTTTTCGAACTAGTATCGCCTTCTTTTGAGAGATTACCTGGTTTTTATCAACTATGTTCGATAGATGTCTTTCTTCAACCAGTATTGAAGTTGATTTAAAAGTTTCATAGCATTCAGTCAAGTTATATATTTCTTTACTATAATAAATTTATATAAAGCAATGAAAAAAAAAAAGGGACAGTGTCACACCCCATGCATTAAAACATGTCGAAGATGATGATGTCAAACTAGGATTGTCAAGATATGTCAGGGGTGGAGATGGCAAACTGGGTTTGTTTGCTTTAAAATATAGTCACATTAGGCTATATTCCGTGTCTAGTGCGAGGACTCAAACCCAGGATTTTAGCTATATAGGTCTGCTTATCAATAACCCCAATAAAATGACAAATTAAGTAATAGGAACATGCTTGAACTACGGTTTATCTCGGTGGGTTCCACTCCTTCCCGGTGAGTCAGCGGCATTGTTTACGGAATTACAATGCTAAAATCCGGGGTTCAATTCCCGCGATGGCCAGAGTCCATTGTGTAGAAAACAACATAACTATTATTCCTGTAGTGCTTACAGTGTCATTCACTCGCCACATGTAGCCTGTGTTAGTCAGACATTGGAGGAACAGACTATTTTAAAGCTACTGTCTTGATTTGTTTGTTGTTGTTTTTTTTACAAATCTGTGATCTTCTGTTTGAAATGTTAAAGATAAATATCAAGCCCAATCGATCTTTGATTCACCACTTTCGTGGAGTTATAACAGCGATTTCTGGGAATTTCACCCATCACCAGTAGATCCAGACAATCATGGCATTTCATTCCAGCCAAAGGCTGCAGGCCAATAGAAAGTCACGCTTTCTCTTCATCCACGAGGTATGGCTAGAAAAACTAGAAACTAATAAATGATGGATGAGTAGGAGAAGCATGGATGAAGAGAAAAGAAATGGGAGGCGGTTCTAATTTCAGTCATCATGGACGCTTTTGTATGTTTTTTTTTTAATTGATGATAATGAGGAGTTACACGTGATCATCGCTGTCTGTGAATCGTAAGAGTAAATATAATCTGGGAAAAGGGACATTGGGTGGCTAATAAGGCCAGGATCATCCGAAGGGAGTGACATAACGTACAGGTTCAACAGTTGTACCAGAGGAGACAGGAGGCGGAGCGTCTAGTGGACACTGGATGATCAAGGTAGCATTTCAAGTTCGTAAAACATAACGAATTCGAAGGCTCTAGAGATGAACAAGTGTTTACAGAAATATAATATATTATTGAAAGGTCAGGAGTAAGCTTCTTAAAGTACTAGACTGTATATCATATATATGGTGTTTTTAGTTATATGTTACTCACCACAGTGATCCTATGTTTGTATAGGATCTGTTTGTCATTAAGTGCAAACCTACACAATGGGCTATCTGTGTTTTGCCAACCACGGGTATCGAAACCCCATTTCCAGAGTTATAAACTACCAACCAGACTTACCGCTGAACCATCAGGAACCAATAGGATTTTAAGAATATGTATCACTCTCCGCCCTAACTTTCACAATGTCTTTTTGTTGTTGTTGTTGTTGTCAGTTCCATATATCATTGACTTGCTTCCTCCACAAATAAAAAAAATCCACATATTTTCAACAAAATGTATTTGTTTTAACTCTTTATTATTACTTCGGTGTGTTTTTACGCCAGAAAATAAATTTTAACTTAGTTGTACCTCGAAATTAAGTATTCTAAACTTACACATCGCCTTTACTACATGGCCGACTCAAACATTTGTTCCAGCCGTACAGGACATGCGCAGAAGACGTTACAAGCCATTTCCGTCACGAGGAATATAATTGCTAGAAATGGACAATTCAATGGCGATGGGTAGGCTTAGAGTAGTTAACTTCAAAATAAGATTAATTTAACACATTTTCCCGCGTAAAAACGAGCTCTAGAGCCTTGTGTAGACACAAACAGTTATAGCAAATGTATTTTGTTGAAAATGCTGGGTGTTCGAATCGACAGCTTTAACCAGTTTAAGTAAAACTGACACGTTTTAATTTTTAAACTAATGGTTAGACTCTGACTCTGAGGTAAGTATATCACTTGCATATTAGATCAACGTGTTCCTGAACATTTTATCAAAATGACAAGCTTAACTTTACTAATGTTATCGGTTTGTAAAAATGACCCCCAAGGTTTTCTTTTTGCTTTTGAACACGAACCCGTACCTCACAAATTATAGTTACTAATTCGTCTTACTTCTGTAGTGGGAAAAATCACTGGGGTGTCATAAAATAAAACTTAAAAAAAAATCATTTAATGAAATATGACATTGTAAAATAAAGCCAACATGGATTCACTAAATGAAAACCTTGTCTTAGTAATGTTCTAATTTTTCGAGGAAATTACTTGTTGTCTGAATAAAAGGGCGTGGACTTGGTGTTCTTAGATTTTTAAAAAGCCTTAGATAACTTCCACTGAAAATTAGCTATAAAATTCGCACCAGTAATAGCGGTAAAGATGAGTTAATTGGACCCAGTTTAATAGGTGACTAAAGAAAGGGATCTTGTCACAGTGGTAAATATGTCACCAAAAACGCCAAAATAGCGCTCTATTACCAGTAGTAAAGCTGACAGATTATATTTATATGTTTATGTCTATGTATATGTATAAAATTGTCTATGTATGCATAGACATAGTTATCACAGTTCAAAATGGTATTTATTTCTATACAAATCTCTATTGAGGCCTCACTTGGAATATTGTAGAGTTCCGATATCCTTACCTCAGAAAGGATATTGACTTATTGGAAAGAGTTCAGAGGAGATCTTCTAGATGGAATTGTAGGAATGGGAGGATTATTTTACTGGGATTTGTTAAGATGTTATTTTCTCTCGAGAAAAGTAGGCTGAGAGATGATCTTATTGAAGTTTACAAGATTATCTGGGGAAACGATAGAAAAAAAAAAGACATGATTTCATTATGTTACATTTTGAAGCTAATAGGACAACAGGGCACAAGTTTACGAAATGGAAAAGGCAGGCTAAGGTCAAGTGAAAACAGTTTTATTTTTTAATAAGGTGATTTACAAATGAAATGAGTTGCTGTCTGCAGTCGTGGAAACCAACACTTAGCCCCCCAGTGGCACAGCGGTATGTCTGCGGACTTACAACGCTAGAAACCGGGATTCGAAACCCGTGGTGGGAAGAGCACAGATGGCCCATTGTGTAGCTTTGTGCTTAACTTCCAACAAACAAAACCAGCACTTAACACGAGTCGATTATTTCCAGATTATTTATTAGAGCAAAACAGCATTGTAATATCTGCTGTGTCCACCGCGGAGAATCGGACCCCAGATTTTAGCGTTTCAAGTCAGTAGACCTACCGCTGTTCCACCGGGACAACCGGAATAGTCAACGGTGGTTTTATACTTTTACTTTTCTTAAGGTGTACAAGGACAGCCTTGAAGAGCCAAATGGTCCTTTGTTGTCCATATTTAGTGTTGTGTTAAAATAACAAATTATAAGGCATCAATGGGGAGTTTTTTCCCCTGTTTAATGAAAAATATTCTTGGCAAATATCATAAAATATTAGTTGTCGTGTTTGAATCACTATCCAAAACGTTATCTCATTTTTTCAGAAAACAAATTGTACGCAAACTTCGAAAACGTGTTAAATATACTAGCTAATATATTTTCTAGTATTTAATTATTACACCTACTAAAGAAAACAACATACTTAGTAGAGGCGTATACATTGTCATAAATAAAGGTAGAGGAGCAGATGTTAGATAGGTAAGTATCAACCAAAGATAAGTAGTTATCCACTTACCAATTTCTCGCGCTCCTGCTGTGACCTCAAAGTAATAGGAAATGATAGCTTCGAACACTGGTTTCGTTCGCCCAAAACATATTTGTCTGCTGTTTTATTTATCTACGTCAGAAGCACTGCGCAAGTAGAGGTGATCTTTACTGGTCCATTTCAAGATATTAAAATTTCCTCCAATGAGGTGCGAGCGTCATTCGTGTGAGGGCGTGGTTTCGATTTGAAAGTTCAAGTTCTGCTCAATAGACAAATAGATAATCATAAAAACTCTGTATGAAAAAAAAATGCTTCGTAATAAGATTAAAACTTCTTTTGATTTGTGGCATCATGGCGGTTGTTAGTTGCGTTGTGGTTGCTACTTTTCAATTGTGTTACTTGGTGTAACATTCCTTTAGGGTACTAGATGATGACAAAACCTTGTCGAAACGTTGTACATTTGCTGTTATGTTAAACTTATATTAAAGTTTTTCTACATTACCCATTCAAGCCGTCTCCAGCCATTATTAGTCTCAAAGTGGGTTCCTCGTCATCGAATTTGAATTCCTTTAGGACTTCTACCTTTTCTTTCTCAGTTGCTGAAGGCTTTTACTTCGTTTTAATTTTCTATTACTAACGCTCTTCAAAGCTTTGGAAGAACAAGAATTGACACCATCGACATAGCAATCAAGTATGGACTTAGCTGTAAGTAATTTAATTTCTCATAAATATGGCATAATGATTTCGTCAAAAAAGTTGGTGTATATTCTTAGGGAATAGAGAATGGTGTAACATACCCGATGCTGTAACACGTTTACTGTACTGATAATTTATGAGCTGAAGAGATTATCTCGATAGGCATAGGCACGAATAACCACCATTTTGAAGCTAAAACAAGTCTTAGCTCCAACTAAAATTATGATAAGTGTAGTGAGCAAAGATTATCTCCGAGTTTAATTGTCAAGATGTAGGCGGATGGTATTCTTATAATACCAATTTAAACTAAACAGTGTCAGTTGAAGTGCACTAAAAGTTTTCAATTAGCTTGTCTGAAAAGTTTCTAAATGAAAAAAAAAAACAATTAGCGAAAACAATTAACAAAAGACGGATTTTATGAAGCTAAAATACACGTTTTTATAATGTATTTGTTTTTCCACATTTGTTTTCAAATGTATCTCCTTGTGGTTAGAAAAGGCCTTGTGATGTTTATTATTTTTTAGGACATCGAAATACTAGTGCCTGTCCCCCAGTGGCTCAGCGGTATATCTGCAGACTTACAACGCTATAAACCGGGTTTCGATACCCGTGGTTGTTGTTGTTTGTTATTAAGCACAAAGCTACACAAAGGGCTATCTGTGCTCTGCCCACGGGTATCGAAACCCGGTTTCTAGCAGTATAAGTACGCACACATACCATTGTGCCACTGAGGGGCAATACCCGTGGTGGGCAGAGCACAGATAGCCCATTGTGTAGCTTTGTGCCTAACTTCAAACAAACAAACCTTCAATTGACATAAACCTAATATGTCTCAATCTACCGATAAATGAACCGATTTGGACTAACCCTTTTCTGGCTGACAGTATGAACATTTAAAAGGAAACAATATGCACTCTGCAAGTGTTTAAAAGGTTTTTCGTCTGTCAGAAACATTTGTAATGGTTGAAACAAACAGTTTGCAAAATCGAACAGATATTAACAACTGTCGTCGCCATTTGTTATAATAATTTGCATTTTGACCTTGTCCTTCCTCAAAAAGGATTCTTCCATATATCCTTGACATAGAATATCCTGTATTCCGGTTCGGAATATATTTTATCAAAAAACGAAATGAGCTCTTAGTAAACTTACTTAATGTAGTCTGTGGTACAAATTAATTCCATTAAATCCTTGTGTGGTCTGTGCTACAGGTTAATTCCATCAAATCCTTGATGTAGTCTGTGGTACAGATTAATTCCATCAGATCCTTGTGTGGTCTGTGGTACAGATTAATTCCATCAGATCCTTGTGT